CCCCAAAACCCCAAAACCCCAAAAACCCCAAAACCCCAAAACCCCAAAACCCCAATTTTATTGTTAATATAATTTTATTATTGAGATTTGTAGGTAAAGGGTCTTTTTTAACAACTTATTCTCCAAAGTATTGTCATTTCTCTTGCAATTCCTTCTCAAATTTTGTGAATATATTTCAAACTTACTCAAAATTTTAACTATTTTTGAAATAATTCTTCAATTACCGTTTCCCACCATTTTGCTAAAAATTTAGAAGACTTGAAATTTAACAGCAATGTACAACATTTACATCAAGAAGAAAAAGAATCGTGATGAGGAAGTGGCTGAGGTTAAAGAAAAGAAGCTACAGAAATATCTAATGAATGTAAGTCTGAAAATTTATAACTTGAGTATACATCACACGATGTGATTGTTCTCCATTTTCGTTATGCTTACAACCCTTGCTATAAACAACAAAGCCATATTTTAGCCTTCACGATTAGCCTGATGTTGAGTTTAGAGGGAAATCTTTAAGAATGAAGCGAAGTTAATCAATGACGACCGAAGAAAAGAATGGGTCGACCAGATTCTTAAGAATAAATTCACAAAATAATCTCTTTCTCTCTGATCAGAGTCTTGCCAATGAGTTCATCTTGAAATTAAGAGAAAGAAGGGCTGATCTGGAGTTGACGAAGAATGGGTTCACGAAGTATAGTTATGAAAAGACTAAAGATCGTACTGAAAGAGTTCATAGAGAGAATCAGAGCTTATTTTTATCTCTTAAAGAGCATTATAAAGGAAATCAGAAATTAAAATTAAGAAATCGACGGAAGAATTATGAAGTTCATGCGCCTTTCCATCTCAAAACTCGAAATGAGAATGATCGTCTTTCCAATATTGATAAGTTAGTATTGGCTAATATTTTAGTTCTTCCTATCACAACGAAGGGTTTAACATGAGCTTTTACTCAAAATACAAGTTCAGAGATGAAGCATCTCCTGATGATTTTGTCGACAAAGGCAAGCCATTCTGAGCTGTTTCAAGATCCGTATTCAATTCATTCGAGAAAATGAGGAGGTCAGCTGAAAGCTGATTTTCAAAGTCAAACAACATCATTTCTGCAAAGTAACAAAATGAGTTAAGGATTTAGGAAAAATTTGTTAACAAAATATGAACCATACATTGATGGGTACAAGAATATAGGAGAGTCTGGTATTAGCAGCATGAAGAATAAAATCAAAGAGCCATCTTTCAAGACGTAAGAGATAAAACTAGTTCCTCTTAACAAAATTTATAGAGGAATGACGAAGAACACTATTACAGATCTTGCATCCACGTCTTTGAGAGATTCAAATATATTTGATGCCTCCACAGATTCATGCCTTGGGTCTCTGAATAAGAGCAGGTATATTCAGAGTAAGTTACTTGCTAATCTTCAGATGTCCAGAATAAATCAACATTTCGATCAAAGAATAGCGCAATCTTTAAAGAATTGATTGAGGATCGAACTCCTAAATCAAATGAAAGGTTCATGATGAGCTTAGAAATGACTGATACTCCCCAAAGGGAGAGAATAACACTCAATAAGATCTTTACTTCGAGAAATAAAAGCCAATGCAACAGAAAGAAAGGATTTGCAGCAAGGTTGGTTAAATATGGAACTGGAATCTCTAGCAAGAGATTGAAAGAGGTAGTAAGAAAGACTATTCAAACAAACCCATCAAGAAATGTAAGAAAAAATCCTCTTAACATAGCTAAACCCAGATAAAATGACTTGCAAATATGCTAACCTCTCCCAAATGCCCTTCAACCACACTCTATCACCCACCTCCAAGACAAAGTAAGCCCTCTCCAACCCTTCTAGAGCCTTAATCCGCTCCAAAATCTACATGAACTCCCTAAAGTAAGCCCTTCTCCTCCAAATCTAGGGGCCATATCAGAACAATGAAGACTAAAATCTCAAAATCAGTCGACAGTCATAGTAATCCCTGTCCCTAACCTACAGAAAACCTTAAGAGGTTCTACGGAAAGTAGAGATTTGTAGTACAAAACAGCTTGTGTTTTCAGTTTTTGGGGCTAAAGAAGGGGTTTTGGGGTTTTGGGGTTTTGGGGTTTTGGGG